TTAGCAAACGATGAGTCAAATAAGATATAAGGCCGATCTAAATCAATCTCAATCGGGCAGAGTAATATTGCTGTAATTAGATAAGCAATGAAAGCAATAACGGTAACTTAATGAATCTACCAAAGACTGCCACTCTAAGATAGAGCCGATAACTTGACCTTGACCCAATTCAAGCAGTGGGGTGTGAGGTAGAATCACACAGGCCATACTTGAATTAGGCAAGAGTCGATAACTAGCTTATACCAGAGCTGCAGTGGGGGTCGACCGGATCGATGTAGCCATACGAACAGAGGTATAAACCATGACGATACTTACAACAAGCAGTGGAGGTCGACTGGATCGATACAGTCATACTTGCCGAAGAACTCGTCGAGATCTACTCTACTCCTACTCCTAAGGGGTGGCCGGAGCCGAAAAAAGTAATTAACTTGTATTTGATTGATTGTGTGTCTTTACAATAGTCGGGGTTTGGTATTTATACCCGGAGCCTAAACATGAATCCTACTCGAGCACGATTTGTTACAACCTTTGGCATAAAATGAAAACATTCCTAATTTAAGATAACTTGGACTCTAATCTTTCTCTTTTTGTAGAGTCCAGCATGTCTTGTCCCAACGCCAATCATAGCTTCTGTTGTCATCTGCTGGCGCTATCTGAAGAAAACCGATTCTAGTGCTGCATCCGAATCAGCTGTTTCCGATCTGTATGCAATCGATCCCCTGCTGACATGATTTTGGGAGCTCTCGAGCTTCTGAGATCCTTCTTCCAAATTCTGGTGTAAACACAAACTCGTCGTCGAGGTTGCGTTGGAGTGGCCTTCCTTACGAGTCAAGCTGAGCCTCAGCCATCGCAAGGGCAGCCTCGTTTGCTAGGCGCTACGCATGGTTGACGTTCCTATTGACGTGGGCGGCGCGGTCCTCCTCGGTCTCCCCTTCCCATGGGGGGCTATCGACACTCACGTTGAAGATTACGCCCCCATGGAAAGGAGGGAGAGGAAGTTGCTCGGTGGTGGTTTCGGCGAGAGTCTCCGTAGAGCCCTAGGACTCAAAGTCCGGATTCTCCTCCAGGATGGTCTAGAGGGACGCTCCGGGGCATCGGTCGATGTGTAGCATGTTGATAGCCGGCGGGACCTGGTTGGCGAGAGGATGGACATCTCCAACCTGGTCAGCGAATTTGCCCCTTAGGGCATCTTGGTAGGTGGCGGCGACGTTGGTGAGCCTGAAGGGTAGGGCCGTAACCCCTGGCGTTTCCCGAGCAGCCTCCGATAGATCTGGATCAGAGGGTGGTCGACGTTGAAGAAGAGTGTCCAGAGCCGATTCTGCGATGGAGAGGCAATCGGTGAGTTTCTGACCAACCTGATCGATGGATGCGATCAGATCGTCGTTGTTGATTTGCCTCCTCTGGTAGCGAGGAAGCGGGCGGCGAGTTGTCGATGAAGGCGATCTCGGATGTGGTTTCGAGATCAGATCTGCAGTCGCAGGTGTTAGGGTGATCGGCGCAAAATTGATCTGCATCGGCTCGATGAGCTCTCCGACTCCATCAGCGTTGATGATCCACGAGATTGATCCGACCGTGAAGATCTGGCCAGGTTGTGGGAGGAACAAAGAGCCTACGGAACATACCATCTTGTTCGATATAGAAACAACACGCACTCCCCTACCTGGAGGACCAACTGTCGACAGAATATCGTCGGCAGTCCTCCGAGGGGTATCCCACGAAGGTAGATTGATCGGCAGAGAGACGAGTAATCAAGAACAAGAAGGCAACAGAGACACACGAGTTAGACAGGTTCAGGCCGTCAGTATGACGTAATACCCTACTCCTGTGGTCTGTTGGATTGTATTGGCTATCATATGATATTGCGTGAGTTTGGAGGGGGTCCTTGCCCACCTTATATAGTCCGGGGGGCAGGGTTATAAGTCGATTAGATCTAGGAGATAACAGAAAAGTAATAACAGATTACAAGAATCATGGGATCATACGTATCCTAAAAGATCTCGTAGTATCTTTAGGATATCTTCCCGGTGTCTTACGGGAGATGCCGAGCAACGTCATGCCCCGCAAGGCTTCGTCTTGTGGGCTGGGCCACCCCTGGGGGTGCAGCCCATGTGGTCTACAGTGGGTATCCGAGGTCGTAGCCCCCATAGTAATTTTTTCATTGTCCATATTTAAACCTGCCACATCATCAGGCTTTCAAAGATTTGATCGCCCGATATTCGTCCGCTGCCAAATGGGCTCGCAAGTTGCAACGTCGCACGGCGGGGCATCCAATCTGTGGCATCTCCGGCCAGCTGATAGCCAACGCGGGCTTGTTGGCGAGGCCAACCAGCGACCGGCCATTGCCCATTGTCCAATGGCCACGCGGCTGCTTGGTATAGAAGCGGCTGGCCCCTGGCATCTCGGTGCAAAAACAATGGTTGTCTGAAAGATGTTGTGAGATCCTGAAGATCATGCACATGGAGGTCAGAGTTAGTCAGGAGGCGACGGGGGCAAGGGGCGGCTGGCTGCCACGACGACTGTGAACGGATGTCCAAGAGGCGCATGAACATGGATGACGAGGAATAGGGAAGGGTCGTCCGAGACAGCTACGCCAATGGGGAAGGACCGTCCGAGGGAGTCGCACCGCCAGGGAAGGGTTGTTTGGAGGCGCACGGGGCAAGGGACGTCCAAGCGAGCCGCCCGGATGGGGAGGTGAAGGATGGGGGGAAAAGCTATTGAGAGGTCGGAAACAATCCGGTAGCAGAACGAGAGGGACGAGCACGAATTCACGTGGGGGATGGGAAAAGCTATTGGAGGTCAATTTCTTTCCAAAATTTCTAAAATTTGGCTCCCAGACAAAGATAGCACATATCTTGGAGATAGTCTTAGGTAGAGAGTCATCAAGATTTACTCGATGAAGACATGGGAATAGGTCTGATGGATACTACTCGAGATAAGAGAGTGCATCAGTGTGGATTTTAAATGTTCATAGAAATTTGCTTTGATACCCGCGTGCTTCTATAGGTCTACCCATGTGGCTCCAGTCTATGTGGAATCTCAGTTCCACCACGGAATCGAAGGAGATGCGGTGACACCGTTGTAGAGAGCACCACCAAGGAAAACCTTATTGTGATGGATGATGCAAGGGAGTTTTGGAATAAAATGTTGGCACCAAGCATCTAAGGATGATGATGCATTGGATAGATGTATGTCAAAGGTTTGGGTTTCTTGAGCTAACTCGAGAAAGGATATAGATTCTTGTAGAAATGTTTTGGGTCTAGATTCTCTCAAGAAACATTTTAGATGATGAATCAGAATTACTCTATGGAACCGTTTGGCTCACTCGCTGGATTCTTGATAATAGAATTAGAATGAGGAGAAACCAAGTTTTAGGTGTTTATTTGGATTAACATAAAAATGAGAATCGGTTTCTAAGTGATTCCCCGTAAATTTTTCTCTTTGAGGCATTTGGTAGCAATTATAGTGATTCTACTAAGAATCATTTTGAAATTTCTCTCTACCAAATGCATGACGTGTAGCAGTTTCTTAGGCTGTTAGTTTTATTTTGCCAATCCTGGTTTGCCACATATATTCGGCGAAATAATCATTTTGCACCCTGTTCATTTGATCGTATCAGAGCAGGTTCGCTTGTCTGAATTCTGAAGAAATTTAGATGGTTTGGAGGAATACTGAAGGAATTTGTGAGAGAAAAACACTGTTCCGGATGAAAAAAATAAGCAGATCAAGCTAGGTTTAAGGACACGCGAAGCAGGGCATCAGCTCATGATACATGATTTTTCTCTCACAACAAAACAACATCGACCAATTTATAAGCCACAGAAACCATCCAGCGAACAGGGCGTTGATCATTCGACTATCATTTAAGGTTCAATTTCGTTCCTAAATTTTAAAAATGGCTGTTTTGTCTGATTTAATAGAACTTTTATGGTTGACAGATGAAATGAAGTCATAATTCATGCGGCTTCATTCGGCTGGTTCCTCCTTAAAAAACACTGTTTACATTATAGCTGGTATAATATTTTTCGCACGACAAATCAATCTAAAACAACCCGTCGGCTTTAATCAAGCTCAGGCCAACAGAGCCTTGTGGACAACCCGTCGGCTTTAATCAAGCTCAGGCCAACAGAGCCTTGTGGACTTGTGGTCAATGATGCCGTCTGCTACTGCCACAAGGTTCCAACAGAGTTGCAGTGAGAGCACATGCATATCTGCTGTGAGCGCGCCAGAGACTTCTGAGAGCTGCAGGGGTTAGTTGGGCAGCCGTGTTCGGATCCTAGTTACTAGTAGTAGCTGAGCCAGCAGCTAAAAAAATAGCACGAGTGGTGTAGATCCAAACATACCATCATGTACCGTACCACCAGTAGCTGCACTAATAAGCTAGCAGTACAGTGGAGTAGATGCTAATGCAGTACTCCCTCCGTTCCGTTAAGATTGTCGCTCGGGAAGCGGGATTGTGAGGGGGGCACGGTTTTCCAACGACAAACTCAATGGGACGGAGGGAGTAGTTAGCAATGCTCTAAACTTAGTAAATCCAAACAGGGTGTACTTTGATCAAATTAATATTATGTTTCCAAGTTTACCAAATTAAATTTTATGTTCAAACAAAGAATGAAGACACATGTACATTCATATATAAGACGTACAGATAATACAGCTTATCTACTGCTCTCACAGCAAATTAGCCAGGAGTGAATAGTACATGAAAAATAATATTACCATTACACACCCACCGCTAGCTGCCCGCTGCATCCCCTCCAAGGACGACAGGAGTACGTGCTCGAGCAGGTATGCAGTGGCAGAAGAAGGGGCCCGCCCCCCGGCCGCCGGGAACAGAACAAAACCAAAACCAAAAACCAAAAACCAAAATAAAAAAAGGGCGGGCCGGGACATCCGTTTTGATATATGATGGATATATAAATGGCAATAATGGCAATGGCAATCCCTTAATTAGCTTAGCTTACATGACGAGATGAAATGAATGGAATCAAAATCAATTCAGTTCACGAGTACTGGACGATTGATCTGTAGAATGTGTTTGGCCTCCAGTTGGCTGGGATGACGTCGCGTGCCACCAGCGTCTTGCCGGAGTCGCTGCGGGTGCGGATGGAGAAGGGCGGCTGCAGGCGGTGGTTGGAGTCGAGGCGCCAGATGGATCCCCAGGACTCGCGCATGGGCGTCCACCGCCGGCTGCCCTTCTCCATGAGGTCCACCTGCACCACGTCGCCGTCGCCGTTCTCGTACTCCACCAGCACGGCGAAGTAGACCTGGCTGGAGCCCTCCTCGACGTGGAAGCCGACCTTGAGCCCCGGGAACTCGCAGGGCACCCTGGCGAACTGGATGTCGATGATGCCGGCGCGGCGGAGCTCGTCGTTGCGGCCGGGCTTGGCCAGCTTGCCGAAGGCGGTGCCGCTGAGGTCGAAGTGGTAGGGCGCCACGCCCGGGGTGTAGTTCATGTCCGTGATCACCACGGTTTCGGTGCGGCCGGAGCAGGCGGCGTGCTTGGAGGTGGAGCACCTGATCTTGTAGCAGGAGCCGCAGCCCTTGCCGCCGCGGTACAGCGGCTGGTTGCCGCACGAGGTCATGGCCATGAACGGGTACTGGTTCACGTTCTTGAACCCGCAAGCGCCGCCTGCATGCATGCATGGAGGAGCCATGGCTGAATGAATTCGTTCATCAAAAGCAAATAAGTAAGGAAAATGCATGATTACTAGATAGATCCCGCCCGGCCCGATAGAGATACATGCATACCGTTGTCGTAGGGCCCGGCACCGTTGGGCTGGCCGTACCAGGTGGCCCTGGCGTTGCCCCACTGCATCTGCATGCCGGCGGCATCGCTCGTGTTGTAGCTCACGCCGGCGGCGGCGGCGCAACTGGCCAGCAGGAGGGAGACGGCGGCGGCCGCCACGAGCAGAAGCAGGGAGAGCGAGAGGGACCCCATTGCCCCGCGCCCGGCCGCCTTTCTTTGCTCTGCTGTGCTCCAACTAGCTACTACTACTAATAAAACCAACTGCAAGAGATGAGATGAGACGAGGGGGGAAAGAAATCTGTCTGCACTGCAGTCTTCTGAGTTCTGAGGTAGGAATACTCTAAGGCCTTGTTTAGTTCTCTTGAAAGTTCCAAGTTTTTTCACTCTCTCTATCATATTAATTTTTGGATGTTTGTATATTAATTTTTGGATGTTTGTATGGAGTAGATAAAAAAAATAACTAATTACACAGTTTAGTTGAAAATCACGAGATGAATCTTTTGAGCCTAGTTGGTCCACGATTAAACAAAGTTTGCCAAATAAGACGAAAGTAGTACTATTTATCGGGTTGAAATTTTTCTCAATCTAACAAGGGCCTAAACTCTACTACCCGTCGGTCTAGCTTACCGTAGGAAGGAACGCAAGACTCGAGGTAGACAATATTATATATAATGCAAGCAGCAAATGCAAGGATGGCATGCAGCAGTGTGTTTGTTCTCCGTCCTGTTCAATGCTTATCGATTATGATATAAAATTTTTCTCTCATAATAAAACAGCATCAGTCGATTAATAAGCCACAGAAACGATCAAGCGAACAGGTGCGTGCTCGCCCATGCTAAATTTTTTTTATATTTTTAGCCCTTTTTTTGAATTTTTTTCACAAATATACCTCTGGAGATATGATTTTAAAATCTAGACCCTTAGCTCGACGCCAGCTGACGCCGGGCTTACACTGCTTGGCACCATCGATGCTGGCGTCGAGATTTTAGGCTCGACGTAGACGTGGCGGTGACTTAGTAGGAGCTCGGCGCCATAGATCTTAGCACAAGCTTGGCGCCGTAGATCCTGGCGCCGTAGATCTTGGCGCCGAGCTTGACGCCATGATCTATGGCGGCGATGTTGTGTTTTAACCCCGGCCCCCAACCCTCCTGCCCGAACCTTCTTTCTCTTCTTTCTCCTCCCTCTCGGGTTTTTTCTCTCCCCGCTTCGTCCTACCTCACGAATCGGCATATTAGACTTAGAAAACTTTGATTTGATCCATAGATCTTAGAGAGCAATGTATCCTCGCCCCTTCTAGTTATTTTTTGCATCGATTCGGTATATATTAGTTGGATTTTTAAACCTAAGAATCGTCATTATTTAGGGTTTCATGCAATTTTTAATATTTGTATTCTACAATCGTAGGATTATGCCAAGGCATGGAAAAACTAGCAAACCTAGATAACCGTAGCGCATGTTGTTATGTTATGGGTTCAGTGTTGTGCATCAAATGGAAAACCCTAGGTTTAGGGTTTAATGTTAATTGCTTCCTGTTTTTAGAACGAAATTGATTGTATTGTAGTTATGGTTCTCATTGACATTAATTTGTGATGTTTTGATTTTTGTTTGTTAAATTACAACCGTTTTGTTAGATGCAAGAAATGTATCAGGAGGAGTTTTGGCGAAAACGGGGTCGTCCTCGAGAATTATACCCCGACGCGTCTAGCAAAGATGCCCCCGTTCTCCTGACCTCCTGTCCCTAACTATGACTGTGGTTTTCCGGTCGACGTGTTTCAATCGAGACATCCAGACACAGCGGCGCGTTGCTTCTACACATGCAGTCATTTTAATGTAAGTAATTATTTTCACTATCTTTTTTTATTCGTGTAAGTAGGCTACTAATATTTTGTTGGAATCTTATTATGTAGGACCATGAGAGGTGTTTTTTCTTTCGGTGGATCGATGGTGTAGAGAAGTTTGACCCTAGGTACCTCCTTTTCGACGATTGATGTAGAGGGAGATATCCACGTGAGCACTTTCAGCGTTGGGTTCCACCCCCCTAACCTCTCGCCAATGATGGCTAAGGAGAAGCACCTAGCCGCAGTTAGACGACTCGAGAAACCTCCTCTGTGCGAATGCGGAGATCGAGCTGTGATAAACCCTGAGAATATGTTGGAGTTTGTGTGTCCGAACAAACACGAAATAAGTGAAAAGTGTATATGTTTAAATGTTTATCTCTATAGGTGTGCGTGTACTAATGTATTCTCTTGTAGCGTTATGGATTTGCGAAGTGTCGTTTCAATGAGTGGCTCTACGGTCCTAAGAATCAATGGTCGGAGCAACCAAAGGTAAAGAAAAGAAGAAAAAAAGGTTAATTTACAAAGCACCTCTAGTCAAGTGCGAATGTGGTGTTAAATCTAACTACGGTCTAGTCCATTCGGAGCTTGGAACAGGCCATTATTGCGGCCATATGGTTGACTATGATAAGGTTGATTATTTTTGTGGTAAACATGAAATCGTATTTTGTTTCTTTTGCTAAGACATATATGATATAATTTTTTGTTTGAACAGAGCATTAGAAAATACAGGTGAAAATGTTATGATGGTCAAGCTAAGTTCTTGGATGAACTAAAGGGGAGGCAAGTAATTGCACGGAACAGAGGATATGGACCTGACTACGTCAACCCATTCGTTAAACATCACAAAAATAAGATACGTGAGTTTGCTAGACAGCGTGGTATTCGTAACCCGATCGATGTTGGGCTTAACAAATGGGGATTAGAGAGACGAAGGACGTTAGAGGAGGAGAGGGCAAGGAAGGAGGCAAGGGAGGAGACAAGAGTACAGTTACGCAGGTCTTGAACGAGCATATTGTTGCATTATGTGTTCATGAGTGCTTGAAAGCCTTTTTTTCATTGCCTAATTTTAAATGTAATATAATCACGTTGCTAACTGATTGCATTTTATACATGAAGAGATTGGATGCAGCGAGGACCATGCGAGGTGGCTCGTGCAAGGTATAAAGAAAAAAATTAGATGAGCACAGAACATGAGCCGGTCGCACCATTCAATCACCGATTGTGTTATATGATGAGGGGGACGAGGATGAGGACGGCACTGCCAGGTTGAGCGATCTCATCGCTCTTGCTGAGGTGGGCTTACAGGTGGAGGAGGCAGAGAACGACACTGGCAGACTAAGCGAGCTCATCGCTCTAGTAGAGGCGGACTTACAAACGGAGGAGGCTGAGGACGACACTGGTAGACTGAGCGAGCTCATCTCTCTAACAGAGGCGGTCTTGCAGGCGGAGGAGGTTGAGGACGACACTGGCAGACTGAGAGAGCTCATCGCTCTAGCAGAGACGGGCTTGCAGACAGAGGAGGATGACGACGCGTTCTTCACTCAGGCCATAGAGGCCACAGATGAAGCGGAGGCCGCTTACTACAGGCGACACCTAGGTCAGAGCAATGCTGGTGAGCCTAGCCACAGCAACAAGGTTGTGATAGAGGACTGGTACTCGGATGATGAGTTGCTTACTCAGTATCTTTCAGACTGAGGATTTGAAAGTGCATTTGCCCCCTATATGGGTTTTGGTGTATTGATGACATCCAAATTAGGGACTAATGTGATCTTAATGAGATATGTCACAGCTATTAGTCCCATGAAAGATTCAAAGAGTTGATAAAGATGAAATAGTATCCATCAATTCTTAAAGTTGTAAAGGCGAACGAACTCAAAGCGCTCTCCAAAGGTTTTATTTTTGTTTTTGAGTTTAGGATCCGCCGCACTATAAAGAGGGATGTAAACTTAGTTGGTCTAAAAAGATAGAGTGCTCAAGCATAAAAATAAAATCAAAAGAGAGACACTCTATCACTCCACGAGTACGTAGAATATTTTTCAGTGACTGTTGGTGTCGGAAGTCCCGACATAAGCCGAAACTCCCATCCGTTGGAAGTCACGACTCATGCCGGAAGTCCTAACGCCCAGTCACTTAGCCTGCGCAGTGACTGTGGCCGTCGGAAGTCCCAACCCAAGTCGAGAGTCCCGACACCTAGGTTTTTGTGGTCGGCTCTCTACGCACGTCGGAAGTCCCAACGTACGTTGGAACTCCCGACAGTCTGTACGATACGATTGGACTATACATGTTCTAGTAATTTTTACATTTAATCTGTGTACTATATTTATTCCTTTTTAGCAGTGTAGTATAATTAATGATTCACGAAAAAATTTTTTGTAAGAGTTTCCCTTATTTTAGGAGCATCCACAGTTATAAACAGAGACATCATTATATAATCCAAACATTTAATCTTCCAAAGAACGCAATATAACCACATCGAACATCACAATCAATATAACATATCCTGCATAGTCCAATAGTCCACAATATTCATACGGTCCCAAATAGTTAAAGGAAAGTGACTACAAAATCCATAATAGTACATACTAACATCTACCACAAAACCTCACTGTCTTCTAGTCTTACCCTTACCCTTGTGACCAAGAGCGCTCGTACCTGGAGTATAAGGGTTAGGTGGATGGTGTCGCCTAGTGCCGAGAGGCTGTGTAGGCTGAGTCGAGGGAGCGTCCTGGAGCTGAGAGGGGCCAAGCTCCTCGTGCCTCTGGTCCACGTCGCCGTCCTCCTCATCCTCGTTCCCGTCCCCTATAGGTGCTTGGCTAGAGGAACCTAAGCCTCCTCTGCCTGCGGAAGGAACGTACACGTCTTGCGTCGTGTCTGTCCTGCAACCACAACGAGCAGTCGTACGGTGTAGCCGACGTGACAGCCTTTGTTGTATAAAATTATGTTAACTGAAAGAATCTAACGTATTAATAATATATTTGAAAGAATATTTTGAATCTTATGTCTAGGAAGCTACGCGTGTCGTCGTCCCTGACTCTCGGACGAAAGCGCTCAATGTCTTCAACGGAGCATTTGAGAATATTGCCCTGCAACAAAGTTCTCAGTAATAATACTTCTGAACAGATAGCAACATGTTTTGTTTTGTTTTGTACAAGAATCTAACGTATTATAAGGATGCTACGGCTCGAAGGTGTCACTAACTAAAATAGATACCTCTAACGCATAATGTATCGGTATGCAACTTAACGTAGAAAAATAAGACAATTGACTTACCACTCTGTCCAAGATTGGTCCTGCCTCCACCTGTCTTCCTGCACGAGTAGACTGGTCGTACGCCATGTCTTCATCGTTGGAGGA